TGAAAGAGATCCCATTAAAATTATTGCCCAAGATATTATAAAAAATAATCTCTCACCTGAAGAAATAAATAGAATAGTATATGACTTGGCTTCTTCTGCTCCCACTACTGTTGCGGGAAATTCTTGTCTTAATTTATTACGGAAAAAATTGCGTAGCTTAGGAGCTGATTATCTTATCATTGAGGCAACGAAAATACCCTTTATTACTGAAGAAGCAAATCAGATTCAAGCAAGAAAGCGTATACTTCATGGAATTAATGGTTATGATTGTCCTGAGTTCTTTTACCTAGAAAAGGTTCAGGAAAGACTTAGTGAATGTGATACTACCAAGCCTTCTTCAATGCAAAATCTAATAGATGTAATGATAATGCTATATATGCAATCAGCAGATGTGGAAAATCTTCGTATCAACCGATACAAACCAAGTCGCAAGTCATGGTATAATCCTGACCATTTTTGGTACTGTATTGGTTATGCAAAAAATAAAGGTGAGGTAGAAGAACCTCGACCATTCCTTTCAATGGAAAAAAATCCAATATGAGCAAGAGAATTACTTATCTGGATTCAAAAATCAATACCGGATAAATTTTCCTTCTTGTTAAAAAATAAGGATAGAAATACTAATGTTGTACCACTTAATCAATTCTTAAGTCACCATAGAATTACCTCATTTATATTAAGAAAAATAGGGGCTGATTATGCTTCCAGAGTATATGGAGGTAAGAATGATTCTCGCCGTCAATATTTACGACAATTGGCATATAGGCATAAAATAGATTATGCTTCATTAGTCGAACATTATGATGTGATGAATGACAGACCAATTGCTCCAACAACTAAAGAAAAAAAATACTAAGATATCAGATATTATAGATCTATACAATTACTAATCACGCTTCTTTATTTCAAAAACTTGTGTATGTATTTCATTCTCGTCGATGCTGGAATATCTGGAAATCACATTGTGAATTACAAATAATTTTATTTAGTAGTGGAGAATGGGTAATTATTTACCGAGTTATTTTTCAGTTATAATATATATCATTAAATAATATCGCAGGAAGCGGGTTATTCCAGCTATAGAATAGAGCAGGTAATTGGGTATTTGACAGCCTTCAGCTAATTTCAAACAAAGAATTTTTATTTGCTGTGATGTATATATATCTGTGATAATTT